CCCCACACCACCCTCACTGCACCTAGCCCCACACCACCCTCACTGCACCTAGCCCCACACCATCCTCATTATCCATAACCCTACACCGTTCTCATTGCTCATAACCCCACTACCTTATCACCCTACTTTATACTATTTATTCCATTGCCTTCATACCACAGTACATTCATCTTACTTCCTGCTTGCCACAGCCGCCCATACTATCTTCACATACCTCGTTTGCAATCAGCACCTCTGCTGATGGCAACCATCTCACTTACCCAGCTGAATCCTTTGCTTACTTCTAACTTGATGCCTCAAGTCGTTTGTTACAATTTTCTGTACTCCTGCTCTCTGCTTCCTTTTTGTTCAATTTCCTCCCACCGTGTTTTCTTAGACCTAGACATTTCCAACCCGACTGCTCCAACAAACTCCCACCTGCATTTGCCCCGTAATTCAGTAATTGTGACATCGGCGTTGAAACGTTCTCTCTCGTGTCGTCCTCAGGACAACCTGGTGACCATGCACGACGTGATGGATGCTCAGTGGCTGTACGACAATCACAAGGACGAGTCCTACCTGAGACGCGTCATCTCCCCACTGGAGAAACTGCTCACCTCGCATAAGCGGGTCATTCTCAAGGACAGCGCTGTGAGTTCGCGCACATTCGCCCCACGACCTCGCTTTAGGACTTCGGGAGTTCTTCATTCGACACGGTTTCTGTACTATGTAGGAGAGATGGGTGGCTTTACGGGTTTTTGTTTGCTTAAAATTAAACCAACGTGCACACTTGTCATTAATTTGTGTTGTTGTCGTTGTGCTTGTTTTTGTTTTTGTTGTTGCTGTTATTGTTGTTGTGGACATTTTGGTTTTTAGTTGATGCTTCGCAGTCATTTTTTCAGAACTCTAGGATTTTTTTACTATTGCAAGACCCTGATAGTTCCAGTCGTTGCCCAGCTAAAATGCATCAGGACTTACTCACCAAATAATAGCTGAATACGTACGTGCGAGAACGTGTGTAGTTGTAGTCAGTGAATAAACTCCTTTATGATTTGCTTTCCAGGTGAATGCTGTGTGTTACGGAGCCAAGGTGATGTTGCCAGGAGTTCTTCGCTACGAGGATGGAATAGAGCTGAACCAGGAAATTGTTATCGTTACAACAAAGGGAGAAGGCGTCGCACTAGGTAAATTGCCACTGTCTCTGGGTCGTGACATTTTTTTTCTAATGTTGGGAGTCAACAATATTGTGAAAACTGTGCTTGCAATGTAAATTGGTTCTAGTAACACGTGTTATTTTTTTGGGTGCTGGGGATTTGTCTGCAATGTCAGTGACGACAATCTTTTTTCTCATTTTGAGATGTTCTTATTTTTAATCATCTTCATAAAAAAGTGAAACAGCTACTCGAACTGCTCTACCTGTCTCTAACTAGTTAGTACATCACATATCCATAATTTAACTGTATTTGCATTCAGAATGGCCTTTCCTACTGCATGCGTGGTAACGTTTGTCATGTCACTTGTTCTAGCAATGCTATGCAACATGAGTCACGTGCGTGTGCGTGCGTGAGTGTGAGTGCACGTATGCGAGTGGGTGTATGCGTGCATGTGCCTAAGTGCGTGCACGTGCGTGAGTATGCGTGCAGACCATAACGTTTGTCATATATAACCAAGAGTTTTTCTTGCAGCCATCGCACTGATGACGACGGCTGTGATGGCGACGTGTGATCACGGAGTCGTCGCAAAGATCAAGCGCGTCATCATGGAGCGTGACACCTACCCTCGCAAGTGGGGGCTCGGGCCCAAGGTAAAACACGCACAAGCCTCTAACACCCATAACTCGATTAGGCCGAGGCTTGATACAGTTCCTGTGTATGGCAGTCGTAGTTAGCAGGTTGCATTCACAAGTATTGAAATAGGTAATTGTTGTATTTCCTAATTAAAAGACTGCAGAACCAAGGTTTGCTGTTGTAGAAAAACAACGAATTTATTGCTGTTCAGTGCAGGCTGCCTTGTTGGTGTTTGACACTGGCTTCGAGGAAGTAGTTGGCACCACCAAATATGCATGGTAGAATGCATGTTACAATAATCTCATGGTAATAATCCAGATGTTGGTAACGTGGAAACGTGTAGGCAAGGAGCATAGTTGTACTACAGTACAGAATGGTATCCTCTGGACAAAAAATGCCTTAATTCATGAATTACTATTCAGCATGTGAAAATTCAGATGGCGAAGGCTTTGGTTGTGTGCTAATTAAGTTCTTGCGTTGTCATATTTTAACTTGCGTAATGTCATATGTTTAGGCCAGCATCAAGAAGGGCATGATTAAGGAAGGATTGCTGGATAAACATGGCAAAGCCAATGAAAAAACACCTGGTGACTGGAAAGATAGTTACGAGTATTACAGGTATTTTTATACGTACATCAAGGCGGTAAATTGTATGTGAAAGCTACAGTGTAAGAGGTATCATCATTGACAGCTAACCCAGTGAAACTGCAATTTCTTCTAGATGAATATAGGCAGCAACATCAGAGAAGTTGCAAAATCTACACTTCAAAGAAGTTAACATGTGTCATCTTATTGATACACAATCCACAGCGATTACATGTGCTTCTCCCAAACCATTATGTTGCCATAAGATAGGAGGTTGAGATATGTATATGTGATCAGTGGAGTAGTGTATTAGGTGTGTATAGACAAGCCTAACAGTTGTGTTTCACGTTCTTTGCAGCACACAAAGTAAAGCTGATGGAATTAAGAAGGAAACTGACCAAGCTGATGAACCAACGACTCCTGCTGCTAGCAAGGCGAGTCAAAAGCAGTTAAATATATGGTTTAAGGCACTTTCCAGGCACAAGCCTGGTAAACTGTACTGTGTCTTTCTAACTGTATTTTGTGCAGGGACCAAGAACTGTTTATGCAGATTCCTGTGTACTGTTTCCAATTACATTGGTACGGTTGGACTGGTTTCTCCTTTTGGTTATAGTAAATGTATTATAACTGTACAAATGTGTTGCTGTTATAGAGAAAGCGAACACCATCAGATAGTTCTGGTGATTCATCACCTGCAGTTGAAATAAAGAAAGAACCCGGTTCTGAAAAGAAAAAGAAAAAGAAGAAGAAGAAGAGCAAAGAGATGGGAGATGGTGACGCCTCAATGGTAATGTGACAATATATTTCTTCTGTTCTTTATAATGCCCCGAAAGCATCTCCTTTCACATAAAGATGCCTTGCAGGACACCTTTTGAAACCTGCATAAAAGGCTAAGCAACTTGTTTATGCCACACGTACGTGATCATGAATTTGTCAATGAAATTAACCTGGTCTTACAATAAATGACATGAAAGTTTCTCTCTATTAACAGGAGGCAGACACACCAAAATCAGAAAAAAAGAAAAAGAAGAAGGTAAAGAAAGAAACAGATTCAGACTGATTGACTAGCAGTGTTCATGTGAAAAGAAGCTGCAATTCAAATGACTGGTGCAGCTGTTAACTTGTTTGTGGGTGTCAAATTAATAGTTCTATCAGAAATATCTTCCCATTCAATGGAATTTCCTTCTGTTAGGCAGTTTAATTAAATGTCATTGTGGTTTTTATGCGGTATAAAATTATGTACATTAAAAAAATTAACATCTTAAGCTAAGAGCTTTCATAGTAGGTGTAAGTGTATAGAGCTGTAAGGCTATAGTGTAACGAGTGACAGCCGAAAACTTGTGAAATGAGTACACGAGTAATGATAAAATACATATGGTTTTTCAAATCCACGATCTACCATGAAGAATGAGTATAAAGTTATGGAAACCTACAGACGAGGCTAAAGGCTAAAGAATAAAGCATCAGTAATGTCAAAGGTCATTCCCATTTTTTATTTGTGCATTATTACGATTTGGAAAATAATGTTTTCCACTTTTGTAGATGTCTAGTTTTATAAAATATAAAAGTAAAGAATTCTTAGTGTGTAATTTTACTACCATTTGAAGTCAGTTGTTCTCATGTGAAATTACGTGCAATACAGTGTAGTACTAAAAAGTATTTTAGTAGCGGGCTATCAAAGTTAAATGTAGTGCAACAGTTGACAAAACTACTTCTTTTTCTTCTTTCCACCCCCCTTTTTACCCCCTTTCTTTCCTCCTTTCTTGCCCTTTTTCTTGCTGAATGGGCCCAACTGTTTGCGCACCATCAGCCCTCTCCACCATGCTTGTATCTATGTATAAAATGCAGAAATATTCATACAGAGGACAGATGAAACAAAGTGGGATAAATCAGATGTTTCGAGTTTTGTATCACGATACATTCTTACACAACGCACGTACCTTAATTGCGCATCTTAGCCGCTCTGCTTCTCTCGCTGCCTTCTTTCTCTCTAACTCTTTCTCCAGCTCATATTGCGTGATCACCTCTTGGTACTCTGCAAACTGAAAATGAAGACGGCACATTTCAGAATTAATCATCTAAGATACATGGTTATATAATATTGAAGAAAGAGAAATATATTGACTAGATGGAGATGTACCTTCTTTGATAACTGCTGGTACTTGTGCAAACCATTCTCCTGGTTCTGCTTCAAACGTTCCAGATCTTGTTCTTTATCCTCTATGTCCTTGTCGTACTTGTCCATCCAGTGGTCGACCTTTAGTCCCAAATCCTATCACAAGTTAAAGGGACAGTAGCCTCTAGGATTTTACTGCATACAACTGTACTTACTGTATAACAAATCGTCTATACCCACATGTATTTGTCACCAGATACTTAATTAATTATTTACACATCAACGCTACGAAATTTGAACGGCGCCATGACACCCGCGACCGT